CTGACATCCAACATGTTACGGAACGGGTTAGAGCCACAGAGGACGACATCACCAGTGTTCAGGACACGGTAGGCACCCTCAGAGACACTATCCAACAACTCCAAACAGAGCAGCACGTCTTAGCTGCCCAAATAATGTCCCTGGAGGATAAACAGCGCCGGACACACATTAAAATCCGGGGTGTCCCCACTGCTGTCCTAACTGAGGAATTCCCGCCTGCCAACGTCAAGGCAGACCCCCCCTAAGCGGGTCCTAACACTGACCCTTCTGCCTGCTTCCTTGAGCTTCTGGCAAAGATATCTTTAATGAGACATAGAGAGGTATTTGTTATATACACCCCTGATATACTTATTATCCCTTAATAGGGAACACATGGGATGGGTGGCAGCATTGTAACAAGGCTGTGTGATAGAAAGTAAATACAAATACAAAAAGAGAAGTCCTGCGCTCACTCCCATCACTACTGGGCTGGCAGCAATGACTACAGTACATTGCCACACTATATATGGCTCCTGATCTCAACTATACTACCACAGGCCACCGCAAAAAAAATTGCCCTAGATGGGATCTATCATGTGACTGGCTCAGTCCGCATGTCACCTAACACACCCAGAGATGTCATCCTGCGCTGTATAACCGTCCACGATAAAATACAAATAATGATTGCCCTAAAAGGTAAAATGCCACTGGACTTTGAAGGCTCCCAGCTTTTATTCTTCCAGGACCTTACTAGAGCCACTTTGCTGAGGTGTAAGACTTTTGGACCGGTGACCACAACACTCTGCAAAGCTGGAATAGCATACAGGTGGGGAAACACTGGCTCACTGCTTATCCACCATCAGGGGACTGCACACAACCTCACGTCTCTAGCTGGAGTGCCCGCTTTTCTAAGCGCACTGGGACTACAGCCCTCATAAATCCACACTACACGAGCAGGCCACCCGGAGAATGGGGAAAACACACATCCTACCACACCTGCTACAAACACACCTACCCTGGGTTTGTAACCTTACCTGTTTGTTATGAAAAATTGTGCTGACAAACATCCTGTCAATGTCTTATCTACACGTTGGCTATCACGATGCATGCAAAAACGAAATGTCTTACCATTGTAATACTATGTTTATGCCAATGTGCCAAACAAAACACGAAAAATAAAGAATTAAAAAAAAAAGATAATTAGAAATCCAAGGGCCTTGGTGCAAGAATCAAAGAAGGCCCCCTTTACACTCTCACTGATCCACTTACACTGACATACACAAACTGTTTAACCAACACGCATTTTCAATGACAGATACACACAGACACACACACTCACTGACAGACATACACTGACATGCACACATTTTTTGACAGACACACACACACACACACTCACTGACAGAAAAACACACTCACTGACACAGAAAGACACACACTCTCACTGATATGACACACACTGACAGACAGACACACACACACACACACTCACTGTCAGACACACTCTCATTGATTTGACATACACTGACAAACACACAATCTCATTGACATACACCCACTCACTGACAGACACACACTGACTGAAACACACTGGCTGCAGACACACATACACCGACAAGCAGACACACATACACCGACAAATTCACTTACAGACACATGCATACTGACAGACAGACACACAAACACTGAAAGACACACATACGCACTGACAGACATATACATACTGACAGATACACACATACATACATACATACTGACAGACACATGTATTCACTGACAGATACACTCACTGACAGACAGACAGACACACACTGATTTTACACAGACACACTCACTCACTCCATCAGTGACAGACTCACTCATTTGACAAAGGCACGTTCACTGATATACAATCTTTATGACAGACACACTCATACACACTGACAGACACACTCACTGACAGAAACACTGAGACACACTCTCAATGACAGACACCCAATCTCATTGATTTGAAGCACACACACTGACAGAGGCATACTCCCTAACATACACACTGACACACACTCTCAATGACAGACACAGTCTCATTGGCAGACACACTGGCACACACTTTCATTGATTTGAAACACTCACCACCAGACACACTCAATGACAGACATTGACAGACAGAGTCACTGACAGACACATACACACACACACACACACACACACACACACACTGACACATACTATCAATGACAGACAAACATTCTCACTGATTTGAAACCCCACTCACCGACACTCACTGATTGACACACAGAGAGACACACTGACACACACTATCAATGACAGACACACAATCTCACTGATTTGAAACACCCTCACTGACAGACACACAATCTTACTGATTTAAAACACATGTACTGACAGACACACACACACACTCACTGACAGACACACTAACACACATTCTCACTGACAGACAGGCACAGTCACTGACAGACACTCTCACTGACAGACACACACACATACACTGACAGACATACTCACTGACAAATACTGACAGACAGACATACACACATACACTAACAGAAACACTCACTTACAGACACATAGACTCATACACACTAACAGACACACTCTCTCACACATTCACACATCCTTGCGGATACACTTACAAATTAACATTATTTATTGTGGTTTGTTAATGCCCATCCAGCCCCAGTATCTTTGGGAGAGCTGGTGTGGGTCCGTTCCCTAGGGTCCAGTGTGGATTTTCTCCCTTGATCCAATGGGGATATTCTCGCTGGGATCCAGTGGGGATCCTGTAATCATCCAGTTCTTCACTGCTCCCTTGCGCCACCGCTGTCTGCCTCCTCTCTCCCTGGTATATTTCGGCAGAGTAGGCACCTGCCATCCAGGTAAGCAAGTGTCTACTCTACCTTTTTGTGCCTGGGGCAGCTTCATCGCTGGCCTTTCCCAGTAGTTATGCTCAAGTTGCAGTTGCAGCTGCGACCCCTGCCACCATGGTAATTCTGGATGCAAACTTCACGCTGGCATACATCCCAAGTGTCCTTAGTTAGGAGGGACAGTCCTTTTTGGGGCCCAACTCCCTCTGTCCCTTTTTGCTATCTGAATATCCATCTTTATAATTCCTCTGAACACCTCACCCCTGGCCACACTTCCACACTTTGCACAACTTAAAATATTGGAAGGCATGCACTAGGTCATTTATTTATTGCCAGTATGTAATAGAACAATTAATTAGAGCGTGAGATCGCATTGTCCCCTCCTTTTATAATTTTATATTAATACTCCAATAAGTGTAATACAGTACTAAAGAAGGAATATAGTTACATAATATATTTAGTATTGTACAATGAGACAGCAGTCCACAAATATCTCCATTCTAGTGGCCTGAGGAAAATTTCCCCCCATGTCTGCCCTACCCTGGCACCTTATATATTTATTTTGCAAAAGAAAATATACAATTTAATCACATTAAATCTTTAAGTACATAGACTTTCTTTCTTGATTCAAAGAGTTAATATTTAAGATTGTATTATTTCCATTCTATTTTCTTATCAGTAGATTCTTAAAATGTATCTGCTATATTCTTGTGTCATAAAAGTTGTGATGGGGTATTTTGCCGATCGACACTCTATCCTCTGTGAACTCCTACGCAAAATTAACAGCTGTGGATCTTCAATGAGGAATTGCTCCCAGCTGATTATTTTCTAACCATTTTTGGTTTCTTTTCGTGAAACTGGATACTCCGTGATCATGATGATCGTGAAACATTCTTTTGGTCCAACACTGTCATGCGGTTCTCAAATAACATTGTCCTTGTGTTGTAACATATTCTTATGTTATCGTAATAGGACATATTTTATTAAGCATAGAATCAGATTTGTAAATAGTAACTTGGCAGCATCACTCGCTGCTCACCGGGGCAATCGTTGACAAGTTGGTGCTTGTATGCCTACTTGTCACATACCACCATGGGAGTTCTGTTTATTATGTTGTTGAAATATACTGGCTTTTATTTCTCATAAATTATGTGTATGAATTAACTAACAACAATGGTCATATTTTGATTACTTAAAGGGAAACTATAATGCCAGAAAACAAATTAGTTTTCCTGGTACTTAGCTCCCCATAGTGCCCCCCTCAGTTCCCCCTACCTCTGCCCCATGGTGCAGATGGGGTTTTACCTTAGTCCACATCAATGTCCCTCTGTGCTAGTTCAGGCTCCATCTCCGCTCCTCCGCCGCCAGCTGGCAGTGGAGACCTAACGGGCATGCACAGCAATGGCTGCACTCACGTTAGGTTTTTCTCATATGAAAGCACATATAATGCTTTCCTACAGGGCTTTACATGATGCCGGATGTCCTCATGCATACCGTGAGGACGTCCAGCATCACGTAGGTGACCAAAAGTCACCTAACAATCTGGAAGTCCCTCTAGTGTCTGTCTGGTAGGCAGCCACTAGAGGTGGAGCTAACCCTGGATAGTAATTATTGCAGTTTCTCAATAACTGCAATAATTACTTTTGTAGGGTTAAGGAACCTGTGACAATGCATCATGACCGCTTCAATGACCTGAAGTGATCTGGGTGCCTATAGTGTCTCTTTAAGGAAACCAGTTAATGGAAATCTGCAACTTTAATGTTGACAGATTTTATTAGTTTTTTAAAAAGTTTTTTCTAAAGGTTTTTTTTTTCAAACACCTAATCTAGGCAAAAAATAATGGGGATTTAGTTACATTATATGATCATACATAGCATAGGCCTGCCACAACGTCAATGTACCCCATCTTTGGCAGGTCCTACTCTCACAGTCTAATGTCTGCTCTTATGTGAATAACTCACTTACTTGGGGAAAAAATTCCATCTGAGGCTCTCTGCAGTACAAGGCTAAATAGGGACCTGAGATGAGGCACCTGTAACAGGTAGGGGTGCAAAACCAAGGAGTTGGCTAGACTCCCAAATATATATATATATATAACATGGGGGGTGGTTGCACTCACCTGAACATGCTTAAATGGGGTGCTGCTGGGGGCCATATTATACAATAAACAATACACAAGATCCAGCGCACTCTCCCATCTACTAAACATATAATGTAACTAAATCCCCATTATTTTTTGCCTAGATTGCCTAAATTTTTTTTAATAAAATTGACGTTGCTGTTTAGTAGATGGGAGAGTGCGCTGGATCTTGTGTATTGTTAATGGAAATCTGCTATGTAGAACAGGACAACGTTAATTTGTAATCTATGCATAATTGTATCTATTCGCCATATTAGCAAAGAATCTATATTGACAGATATTTTAAAGGGTCACTCCAAACACCATGACAACATCAGTGATATGAAGTGGTCATGGTGGTAGAAATCTTTATGTGCAACGTTTCTTCTTAAAATGCTGCACATGCAAGAATTCTTCAATTGTGTGCTAGGGGCTAGTTACGCGCCCTTCCCCACCCCAGCACAAATGCCAATGTCAGTTCTGTGCATAACATACATTCATCATCAGCACGTATCGCATGCTGGCAATGAACGCATTGAGCTTCTCCCTTTAAGTATTTTTCTTGCCCTCCCTACCAGCGGTCGCATATATGTAATATGAGCCAGTAAAAAAGTCCAATCACAGGCTTCTCTATTAATAGACTGTAAATGAACCGCACAAGACACTTTGTTGATATCAGCTGGAGGCGTGAAAGGCAGCGATGGAAGATCCGCCTGACGCTGGATTCCAGGTAAGTAAAAAAACTATTGCAGGTTTACTGTAAAATGTAGATGGGGGGGACTAATTAGCAGTGCCCAATAGGGCATTTTAAATAGAAAAACATACACCCCCAAAAAAGTTAATGTAACCAGACTAAAATATATACATAGACTAAAATATATACATATATGTAGTTCATGTGGAGGTATAACTGAATAAGGTTTTATATGCGTGTGTGAATCACCCATCATCTGAACTAAACTGCTGTGATTTACTCTTTAGAGCAGGGGTGCCCAAAAGATAGATCCCCAGACGTTTTAAAACTACAGATTTCATGATACTTTGCCATTCAAAGCATCATGGCAGTTGTAGTTCTTCAACATCTGGGAATCTACCTTTTGGGCACCCCTGCTTTAGAGAGATAAAAAAGATGATGGGTGATATTGAGTGCTGGGTGAAACTGGGTACTGAGATCCTTAACAGGTATCCCATCTCTAGCTTGTAAGTTAGAATAGTTAAATATTTGCTTTTCATAATATCTAATTTATACGTTTTCTAACCAGTTGGTCAACAAAACAAATAAATACAGTTATTTACAGACTACAATCCATTTTAAGTAAAACTGAATCCTGCTAAAATATACCTTTTGGTCTCCATTTCCTGCTGGACACAGATTAAAAATTATTTGGTTTTCATTTTAGATATATTATGAATTATAAATTAAAGAAATTGGCAAAAACAACAACAACAAAAAGTCCATAATTTGTGAAATGGACATGAAGGTTAATGAGACCTGTCTCACAGTAAATAAATAGTAGATTAGGGAATGGATTTGATTACCTTTGTGAGCTGCCGAGCTGTTTTAAACTTTTCATATTCTGTTTTGACTCCTGAGAAACAGGAAACTAAATCAGCAATTCTTTTGTCACAGATAATAGAAGAAGAATAGAATATGACCAAAAGAGTTGAAACTCAAGACATCTGGGACATCTTGATAAATTTAGAACTATGAAACTATTATCATTACTGTTTTCGTGTAGACTATAAGGACACTTCTTTGCTCTTGTCCCACTGGGGACCTGTCGATTTTTCTGGTCAATGTACTTTGTGACGTATGCTGGTAATCTATTAATAAATTATGGAAATAATTAAATGTATATGTCCACTCAGAATTCAAGAGATGAGGTTTGTTTTATGGGAGCAGGCAACAGATCATTGGGAAAAAAACCTTTAAAATGATATCCTTATAAAAAAAAAGAGGGAAGGGAAGAGTACAAAGAAGAGAGATTTGTAGATTTGAAAGAACACTACAGTGTCAAGAATACAAAAGTGTATTCCTTACACTATAGTGTTAAAAAAACATTTTAGGTTGTCCCCCCCTTGTACCCGTTAAATAAGCTAGAAATTCACCTTAGTTTAAATACTCCACTCCCGCTCCACCTCCCTGGCTGATATAATTAGAATTGACAGCCAATGCAATGCATTCCCATAGGAAAACATTGGGCGGCTATCGCGCATGATGCCTGTGACGGACCGCCTGGCACCCTTACCGAATGCCTCCGTCAGTCGATGCACCTAGTGCTTACCGAGGACTCCAAGCACTCCACCAGACCACATTAGCACTACAGACCCCACGAACCGCTGCAGCTTGGTTGGGGTCTCGCCATCCTGGAGCCAAGACCAGGATCCAGCTTCCAGTGGGTGAACCTCTCCTACTCCAGAGAGCGTAGCAGGAACAGTTCTTATAAGAGCTAGTGATTAGAACCCAGGGGAGTATAAGGAGTATAGCAATCCCCAGAGCGAATATAGCTGTCCCCATCCACACATGAGATGAAACTCTATGTTGAGGGTGAAGAGGAACTAGATTTTAATGGTTCCACACTGGCCTTTTATGACACTTCCCTATGCAAGGGGTACGACCGCATGGACCTTGTTGGGGACTCCAACACAAAGACACAGACCAATAAAAAGTGATTAAATGCATGACACTCCCATAACAAACATACAATCCCTCCTCTCTTCCTGGGAGATAGTTGAGGTAGATACTGTATTAATTCCGTTATCTCCAGGCAGAAAAAACACAAATTTTTATAAAACCCTCAAAGTACCCCAAAAAACATATAAAATCCCCACAATTGTTACATCTCCTGATAGCCCTAATCTTGGTGACCAACATGTCCAAAAATCACCCAGATCAGTTCAGGAATTTCCTGGAAGTCTTATTTTGACCGACCGCACACATGGTTTCGTGTCCACAACAGTTCCAGAGAATCGGGCTGTGCGGCCGGTCTACTTCGGGGATTCGAAGTACTGTTCGAAATAACGAACGTAGCCATTCGTGAATAAAGTTATTATATGTCTCTTGTTCATCACTCCCATTCGAATAGCCGAACATCCATAGAAGGTAAAGTCTAGCGGTGTTCACGCCATCAAATGTCCGATTTGAGTTCCATTAACTCAACGACCAAACACCACTCATTGTACTCGAGACTTAAGATGCAGAGACAGACTACAGCTCAGGTAAGTGAGGGATGGGGGAAAGGCAGCAGGGAGACATGGGGACACTGAGACACTAGGGGACACATGGGGACACTGAGACACTGAGACACTAAGGGACACTGGGAAACATAGGGACACTGAGACACTAGGGGACACTGTGAGACATGGGGACACTGAGACACATGGGGACCCTGTGAGACATAGAGACATTGGGAGACACTGAGAAATTGGGACATGGAGACACTAAGGACGCAGTGTCCCCATGTCTCCCAGTGTCTCCATGTCTCCCAGCCAATATCTCTAGTGTCCCAGTGTCCCCATGTCTCCCAGCCAGTGTCCCTAGTGTCCCCTACTCTCCCAGTGTCCCCTGTCCCCATTTCTCTCAGTGTCCTTATGTCTCCCAGTGTCCCCAAATGTCTGTGTCCTCATGTCTCCCAGTGTCCCTATGTCTCCCAGCCAGTGTCCCTAGTGTCTCAGTGCCCCAATGTCTCCCAGTGTCTGTGTTCCCATGTCTCTCTGTGTCCCTAGTGTCTTAGTGTCCCAAATGTCTCAGTGTCCCCATGTCTCCCAGTGTCTGTGTCCCCATGTCTCTGTGTCCCTAGTGTATGTGTCCCCATTTCTCCCAGTGTCCCCAAAAGTCTGTGTCCCCATGTCTCCCAGTGTCTCCATGACTCCCAGTGTCCCTATGTCTGTATCCACAAGTGCCCTCATGTCTCCCAGTGTCCCCAAGTGTCTCAGTCAGGGCCACCACCAGAAATTTTGGGGCCCCTAACTCAGCTCAGGGTCTGGGCCCCGGGGGCCCGCCTCCAAGCCCGCCCACAGGGACCACCTCCAAATCCCGCCCTCAGGAATACACACACACAGACACAAACACATTCACTGATATGAAAGGACACAGATACACACATACACACACACACACTGATACATACTAACAGACACACATACTGAAACAGACATACACTCATATAGGCATACATACTGACACACACATACAGACACACAGAAATACATAGTGACAGACAGACACATACTAACATACATACAGACACATACATACATACACACAGACATACATTTATAATGACATACAGACAGACATACATACATTCATAAGGGCATGCAGACATACATTCATACTCGTATACATACATTCACACAGACAGACATACATGCATACAGACACTGAAATCCATACATACATACACACATTCATAATGACATGCATACATAGATACTGGCATACAGACATAAATACATACTGACATACATACACACACACATAATGACATACAGACATACATACATAGATACTGGCATACATACATACCTACAGACAGACATACAGAAGGACAGACAGACATACAGATAGACATACAGACAGACAGACAGACAGATATCAAATTTTTCAGCCCTCCTGTTTCTTACCTTTTCTTTGCAGGAGGGTGGCTGGGGCTGATGGGAGTCGGCGTGGCTCTCACTCTTCACTGCAGGGCTGTCTCTCCTCCCGCGCAGAGTGAGCTGGGAGGAAGTGAACATTTCCTCCCAGCAGCACTTGCGTTGCGGCTGCATTTTATTTTTAAAGGGGCCCGGTCGCGCTACTACACAGCCACAGTGCTGACCGGGCCCCTGAAGATATAGGGCCCATCGGGTGGACCTAAGTGCATGGGCCACCCAGTAGGCCCCATCAGCGTGCAGGTCCCATTGCAACTGCACTGGCGGCAGTTCAGCCGCTACACGTGGGGCCTGGGCCTCCCAGGGCCGCCGGGCCTTTGACAACCATCATGGTTGTCACCCCCTGATGGTGGCCCTGGTCTCAGTGTCCATGGGTCTCTCAGTGTCCCCATGTCTCTCAGTGTCCCCTAGTATCCTAGTGAAATGGGGACACACTGAGACATGGGGACACTGGGAGAAATGGGGACACTGAGACATTGGGAGACTAGGGGACAGGGCAACATGGAGACACTGACACTGTGATACATAGGCATGTTTGGGCATGTTCGCCACCCTTTTG